CGATAAATATTATTTATGTCTTGTTACTTTAGAAAATGGAGAAAAAAAATGTAGAAATGCTATATCTTTTTGGACTACGTGAAGCAGCACAAAAAAGGGAAAAACAATTTTGACATTTGACATTATATTTTGTACACTTGTGTTCCGTTTTTATGTTGCCTTACTCAAAAGGAACGAGTCATTCTCCATTCCTTTATTATATGTACATAAAAATAAGTACTGATAATGAAATTTGGTAGTAAGATTCATGCTGTATGCAGACTGTCTGAGCGCTTTTTCGTGATTATTGGAAGTTAGAAAGTTATTCTCCAGGTCTTACTTTTTACATGTCCATTAAATGGATTCATTGTCAAGATGATTCTTTTTGGTGTAAAATTGAGAACTTATGACTTTTTCTTATCCTTTTATATCTGTAAATGTGCGAAACTGGAAGAATTGTAAGCTACCAAATGGAAGTAAGCTTCCCAAGTGACTCCAAATCACAGAAATCGTCAAGTCAGCAATATCATTCATTCACATTGTCAGACAATTGCGATTGCATTGTTCAGACAAATTAAAAAGTCACCAGAGACCACACAGTCATAACAAGTCAGTCAAAATGATTCCATACCCAAATTATTATCACCAAAAAATTCCACACAACAAAAAAGGATCATTTGACTTACATTTTTTATGTTTTGACCCGATATATAATAAAATAATAACTGTAATAAAACTCTTGACAGTATGACTCATATTCAGCACATAAAACATGCATCAATTAGCATCTGAGCAAATAATACAAAGAGTAAAGTCAAAAGGCAGAGTTCTCATATGGAATTTTGATTGAATGTGCAAACAGTCATTAAAAAGTTGAGCATGAATGACACGTTTTCTCGCTTTACTATGCCTTTTTTTATGAATTGTGCAATCAAATGTAAAAAGTCCACACAAAGCACATCAAAATCATTAAGCCGCTGACTGTGCTTTTCTTCTATTGACAACGGTAGTGCATGTTAATTTTTAAATAATTGGATGTAACAATGTTTAAAATATGTCATGTAATTATCACTTGTAGGCTGTCATTTCTCACGCATACAAAGTGACTTTGTTATATTCATAAATAGAACTTTGTAAGTCAGGCAGGAAGGACTTTTAAAAAACAATAAAAATAGAAATGGCGGAAAATATGCTCGGATATTGGCAAAAGACTGCTTGCCTTAATGTATAGTCATATAAAGCAATTTATTTTAAGAATGGATTAGCAACATACATGAGATATCACTTTCACTTTAGATGACTGGCTAGTCGACTGCATACAAGGCTAGTTTATATGTCGATCAATAACTGAATGATTAATCAATTCTAGTTGACTGCCTAAATGAATAAATTGATCAATAGAGTAAAATTTAATCAAAACTGACCATTTGCAATTTTTGCGCCTTACTCATTTTCATGAATGGGATATGCCTACTATCGCTTTAATTTGTGGATATGACGGTGATCGATAACGCTGTTGTCATAAATATTTTACCATCAATTGACGATATAGATGGTTTATACAATGTATGATAGATGAGGATAATATCTATCGGGTATGAGAGACATAAAGGAAGTAAAGCGGGGGTAAAAAAAGTCATAAAGAAGCCTCTCAAGCGGCAATAAGCTGAATACAATCTAATATCCTAATATCCAATAAACAGAATAAAATATCCATTAGTTTCACATGTGCCTTAAAATAATACGTGCGATATATTACCTCACTTCATCCTGTAACTGGAGTCAGTAAAGTAGAAAATTTGTCAGGCGCCAGAACTATTCTTTTCTTGTGCTTTAATGAACATGTATAAAAAAATCTTAACGACATCACTTTCGAGTACACTTATGTATGTACACATGTCTTATTTTATTTATTTATTTATTATTTCATCTCCTCTTTTCATAAAGCGCGTCGACAAGCATTCTCACGAATGATTTATTTGTGATGCTGATTCAATGGAATTCAATGGCATTATATTACTTTTTTTTGTGCTATGTGTTGCTAAAACACGGCAATGCTCTTGCTCTCGTCATACCTTTTTATTGCACTCTCAATTCTATATTTACGAATAAAAATAGCAACAGCATCGACAAGTTGAAATTGTCTTTTGAGGAAGTGAATTTTGACGCTTTTGTGGATTTAAATTACAAAAGGAACAAGTCTATCCACGAGAGCTTTATCAAAATCAAAGGACTAAGATTAAGTAGGTAAAAAATCAAAAATAAACAGTCAGTCAAGCAAGAATTGTTGGAAAATTTCACGACAGCTCCATTAAGAACAATGTCAATTTTACCTCGTTTCTAAAATCCCATAAGAACCAAGGCACTCAGACAAAATTAACCCTAACCCTCAATTCTCTAAACTCAAAATCAAATCATAAATTTTTTTGTAATAAAGTGATTTCCCACTGACTCAGTGATTGGAAAATTGCCATTGTACAATGCACAGACATACAGCATTCGACAACGGCAGCGACAAAAATTTCATGTCGTGCAAAATCAACAATAAAGAATGGCATATAAAAAATATTACAAATTTATTTGCTTTGTTATCAATTCATATTAGCTACACTGTACATTTTTTGAAGCTTAAAAATATCTGATGGATATATTTAGTTCTTTTACGAGTAGGTCGATTTTTATTTTTGGATTATTGTTGATTTTTCTGAGTGATGTGAATTTATTGAAATGTGTTGAGTAGGATGAAATTCTTTGGATTCTGATTTTCTTGTGCAGCATTGGAATTTATTTAGGATGGTTTTAAAAAATGGAATAAAAAACTTTTCCATGAGCAGTCAATGGTTATTTTTAACTATAAGATTTATTTTTATTTCTACTAAAGATGACGCACTTACTGACAAAATGAGTCCTTAAAATTGGAAAGCATAAAAAATTCTTGTTCCATCAACAATTTACGACATTTTGATAGGATTCATCAAGTAAAATTCAAACAATCTTCCTTCCTTAAAAGTAAATTAAGAGCTTAAGATGATAATTCCATAAAATGGAACTCCAACCATAGTGACATTTTTGGTCAAATAAACCGTATTCATCCTACGCTGTATCGTCTCTCCGACTGTTTGATTTATAGACCCTTTTTCTTCATCTGCCTTGTCTTCACTTCGGTGTCTTTCTTGGGAATTTGCAAAACAAATTTTTTTTTGTGTGATACATAAAAAGCGTACGCAATTTTGCTTTTACTTAAAACAAGTCTGTTATCTGAACTCAAAAAGATCGCTTCTTTATGGATACGAAAATTAAATTGCCATTTCCATTTTTCTCTTCAAGATGATTTTTTTTTTGTGTCTTAACTCCCACAAAAAAACAGAAAAGAATAAGTAAAGAAACAAAAATCATGTTTTTATCTTAGATAAATGGCTTCTGGAATTGGTTGGGTGCTTAAAAAACTTGTGAGTACGAAGGCAAAACTGAACAAATGACAATCATTGTTATTTCAAGTCGCAAGTACTACAAATATATATAAAAAAAAACTCATGGAGCTTTTTATACTCATTTATTATTGAGTTACTTACTTAAGACTCTTTTTATTCAGTTTGTGTGTGGTTAATTGGCAAAAATTGCCTCACAATCATCCTTCAAAATACGTAGGAATTTTATTATTTTTTTGCTCACATTCAATTTACTCAAATAAATTATTTTTATGCGGACTCTTTTGTGTACGCGTTCTATTCTTGCGGTCTTTGTGGCATTTGCTGGATGAGGAATGAACTTGTTGGATTGTTAACTTCTTTATTTTTTGTGCATGGCAACTTTTTTTGTACAGAAAGGAAATTTATGTTTGACTTTGATTTTTTTCAATAATTGGAAGCAAGTTGTGACTGAATTTTTTATGAGGACGATGACTTGAGGTATTGGAAAATTGATTTATTAGCTATTTATGAAGTTAATTTGTAGGTGCCTTTGAATTTATATTTGAACTAAGACCAAAATATCGTCAAATATGATGACCTTTAAGACACAGACACAACATCAGAAATAAAACAATCTAATGCGCTATAATTATTTTCAAATATTGACTTTTTCACTTAATTGGCTCCTCAAACAGTCACCGAAATGATCAAACTTTTTCCATGCTTGTCAGTAGCTTTCACAATAAAGCATTCCGGCAATCTCTTAAATCTTGAAATCCTCTCCCAAATTTTCAATAACAATAAATTCGGATGATACGAAGAATATTAAACAAACAGTAGCCAAAAAAACCTACTCGATTTTCAAACTCCTTATTGTATTTTATGTGTTTTGGTGTAAGAAGCCTTTGGCATTTATTGGATTATTTCTATTCCATTTCCATTTTTATTATTTTCTTTTTATAGTTTGAAAGGAGCTTCGGCACAAAAAATGATTATTATGAAAAATATACAATTTAATAGCTGTTGTTGTTGTTTTTTAGTCTATGCTCATCTTACGCCTTTAAGCTATCGAGAGCTCATAATGTGGAATAAGAAAAAAGGATGTCTGGATAACAAATTGACTTTCAACAAATAAGTATGAATATATGGATTTTTAACGTGACTTTTGGAAAGTTGTTGAGTTGATTTGGGTAGGTTTTGACTTTTTGCATTAGCTTTAGCTACTCTTGTGACTTAAAATAGATGCATTTAGGGGCCATTCACTTATTACGTAACGCTTTTACGGGGAGGGGGGGTCTAAGATTTTGTTACGGTTCAAACAAGGAAATTTTATTTTCATACAAATTTTGTTACGAGGGGGATGGGGGGGGTCTAAGAAGTCATTTTTTCGCGTTACGTAATAAGTGAACAGTCCCTTAGCAATTCAAAGCAAAACCTGTAATTATTTATGAACATTGTAATCAAATCAACATTATTGCGCCCCAGACATCCACATACGAGTATCGATTTGTTGCTTCCTATTCAGGGTAGCAAGGGAGTAGGATGAACACGAATGAAATTGTTTGGGAGGACGAATAAAATAAATGAAAAGGTCAATGGGAAGATTCTTACCGTTTTCATTATTTGATGCTGCGGAGTTGCTGCTGCTTACACTACTGATTCCATAACAATAATAATCCTTATAATCCAACTTATACAGTAGAAAGAGTAGAATAATCCATCGCTTGAAAGACGATGATGATGTGAGCAGTGTTGTTACATTCCTAATCCTTGTACTGCTGCAGTGATGATAATTATTTTTTAATTTGACCATTGTCGATTCCACTGCACTTGCAGCTACACACCATTAATAATACACATTTAGATATACACACAAAGATTTTTTTTATGTATTTTTTTGGATGCACTTAATTCTATCCACTTGTTTTTTATGCTATATATTTTATTTTTTTTATCTCTGCCTTTTCCTCTCGAATTCGCTACACTTAATTATCATTCTAGAGACAGATGATTCTCCTGCACTTTTTATACTCAATTTAATGTTTCTTTTTTCACTTCTACTTCCTTCAACATCATTCAACTCAGTCGAGAAGAATAAAAAAAATTATTTTTGATTCATTTAATTCACTTACAATTCACTTATTCTTTTCATTAGTATTACTTTTCTTCTTCATTCATTGTTTTTACACGATGCAGCACAAAAATATGTTACGTTTCATCATTTTCTCTCCGTTTCTCTTCGGTTCTGTTCTGCTTTTGCACTTAATTGAGCGCCTTTTTAATTTCAATTCATAACGATGCAATGATGTTGATGATGATAATTGAGTAAATGGTGGTCCGAATAACGAGATAACTTTTTTTTATGATATTTTACTCAAAAGAAGAAGACGATGTGTTTGCGATAACTGCAAAAAGATGAAAAGAAGAACGAAAAAAAAATGTGAAAGAGTTTCAATTTTAATATTGAAGATTTTTTTCATTAAAATACAGAATTGGAAACTTTGATGGTGATTGACACAGATTTGATGCAACTGCTTGAATTGCTACAAGCTGCAGCAATTTGGGATTAGATCAAAAACCAGTTTTGACGCTTTGTAATGATCAAAAGAGGACCTAACCCTTAAAAATGTTATGATCATCTTACATTACAATAAGAAGACAGGATAAAGCTTAGAATTATCTTACTTTAAACCCATTACATAATCAGTTTCAGCCAAAATCTGTAAGCTTTAAATTCTGATTACAGGAATTATAAACAATGTGCCTAGATTCTATTTTAGATACAATACACCCACCAAAGAACCCACGTCGTTCAACCACAAAGTTTCCAATGCTGTATCAACTCTCAAAATGCGGTTAGCGCTCAATAAAATTATTATTTGCAGAAGCGTCGCTTATAAGAATGTGATGATTAATAATTGTTAGTTTAATTCTCCCTAATTCACGCCCTTATCTCTTCTCATTCATCGCATGAGTGCTTTGCCAATTTATGTTGCGATAATTTTTTTTTCTTCTTTGCGACTCTTCGCTCACTCTCTTTTTATATCATAATTGGATTCACTAGCCATAATAAATGAATGAATGAATGAATGAATAAGAACGAAGGAAGCGTTAAAAAAAGTCGAGGAACTTCTCGAAGACTTCTTTTCCTCCTCGGATGCTATTTTTGCTTAAAAGTTTCTCTTTTTTAATGAAATTTTTTGCAGAACTTGTGGAATTAGTTTGGGTTGAAAAATATGCTCATTATCCGCAATAAAAAAGTCACCGTGGAAATTAACTTTAAAATGAGAAAAAAGGAATGTCCTTAAAGTATAAATGTCATGGTCGTTTACCAGGAAACTGACATGAATCCCTCACAGTCATCATTCAAGACAGTTAGCACACAGCAGCAGCAAAAAAGGGACGACACAAAAGAGATTGGAAGTAAGCTGATAAAAAGGTGATAAGAGTTAATAAATTGAAGAGAGCTGCAATCTTTCATTTCAAACTACCCGATAAGTGCCATCTCAAACATTCCCTCAAGATAGATAGACAGAACAAGAAGAAATTCAATTCTCGGCATAGACCTTTGAACTGTCAATTTTCGTTAAGAATCAACTTGAAATGTCTTTCATTTTATTGTAGGCGACATGAATCACCAAGTCTTTTTACTGTTATCAGACCATAGAATTTTTTTTGATGTCTCATAAAGGAATTTCTCTTTTTACTGACATTTTCTAGAGCTATTTAGTCTGTTTTTTACTATGACTACATATTTGTCTGTTTTCAGTTAAATGTTAATGGATATGATTTTATTTTTTGATGGTTTTTAATTAGTTTTAAGCATATTTTGTGGTAATGTTTGAATATGGATGATGAGTGCTGGGAAATGTCGTAAAATATTGGATTTATGTGACTAAACTATTATTTCGACAATTTTTCATAAGATTTGAATGATATGAACTACGTTGACTTTAGATTTGCCCTCATTGTAGGCATAATAATACAGTAATATGCTAGATATCAGCCCTACAGTGACAAAAAAATTACAAATTAAATCAATTCATTTTTATATTATTTTAAAATAAACCAGAGCATGTGTCAGTTAATTTGCATCAAGCTAGCACACAGCAGGATGAAGGAAAGAAGCAATGCTGCGACTTCCCATGAATAATATTTCTTCTGCACACATGTCGGAAATTAAATTATGTATATTTAGATGAAATTGAAATTGAAAAAATTTTAAGGATTTTTCAGTGTTTTTAACATTTAAATTCTTAAGTATGGACATTGAAATAACTCGACTCAATATTTATTGTTGAATAAATGACTGAAATTCATTACAAATTTTAAAATCCTCTCAAAAATAATTCACATCAACAAAAATAACAGAAAATCCGTCATAAATTCGACAATGTCTATCATAAAAAAATATCAGGAAGTATGTCGAGTAGAAAAAATATATTTAAAAGTTTTCAGGGCACAAAAACAATTTCCCGAAATTTTTTTTCAAAAAGTCTCAATTTTTTGTTGCTTATAATTTTAATTTTCTTCATTATTTCTTCTTCTCGCTCCGGTTTTAGCTGAAGGATTCGCTGATATTTCCGAAGATTATACAATTTTTTGCAAGCAACAACGGAAATTAAAAAGGGTACGGAAGTTTCGATTCTTGTTAATTTGAGAGTCTCTTAAGAATCCTCCTTAGTTGTGCTCAGTTTTAACAACAACAAAAAAAGATTGGAAGTAAATAAAGCACAGAATAAAAAATTGAATTTCCAATGTCACTGGTTTAAATCACACGTTCAATGCATTCAGTGACGAATTTTTCAACACAGTAAAAATTCAGGAACGACAGCTTGAAAGTCGTTTATTTTGGTTTTGGTTTGGCAGCAAGCAACAAGCCGTGATGTTTGTAGGATTTATAAAAAAAATTGGATTCAATAGGAAATCTTTGGCAATGACGTTTCTCATATTTTAGATTGTCAAGAGTTGTGCGTGAACATTTATGTGATGCACATCATTTATGAATAGCTGCAATCATCCCGTCAAAGAGTTTGTGCATGAACGTGATTCAGTTCCAAAATTCTCATTTTTAAAGGGAAAAAGAAAAATTAATCCAATGATATTTATTACAGCAACAGCAATAAAGGCAGCACGTTCTCATAAAGTTAAGGAAATTTAATTGCCACAAAATATTCAACAAAATCACAGAGACTCAATTTTCTCATAACTTCTGGATCCCATGAATATATACTCAACATTCCCTAGTTAAAATATTATCTTTTCTAATTTTTTGGGAATCATGGATAGATAGAAACACTCATTGTGTCTACACAGACTTTATAGATAAATGTTTGTATCGAGCAATTTATTTCGTTCTCATATATATCATATCTCTATGCATGAAGTGCTATGCTTCATAAATTTTTTTCTTTCTCTCTCGTACAATAGTTTGTTCTTCTACAAATTAGTCATTTCTATTCAGAATGGATAGTCCAGGCATAATTTTATATTCTACATTCTCTCTCTCTATCCACACTTTCTCATGTTTCATGCTCATAGACATACCATGTTCTGTTGTATACATATTAAAATTATTAATTTTTTCTCGTTCCACAACTTTTTTTTTGGGGGTTATCGGAGGTAGGCATGAATAATTTTCAGTAATGACTAGCAGTACATCGACATCATGCAGACTTTCCATTTAACGATATGAAAATCATCATTAGAATCAATAAAAGAAACTTTTACTCTCCCCAGAGTTTTTTTGCTGCCATCCCCAAAAAAAAGTCAAAGAAAATTTGGAATTATTGTCACTAAAATACGCTTGCGATGGCATTTTTCATATATTTTAGCGTCTTTTTCGCATTTTCTTTCATTTAAAAGAGAAAAAAAATTGTTTTATGAGGAAAAACGTGCGTGACACATTCATGGGAATGCTTTCAGGCGCTATAAAAAAATATTTCCACATGCCTTATTCCCGGGGTCACGAGCACACATATACATACAAATAAAGTTTTTACTTCTGATGGAGTCTCACAGAATATTTGGGATGACTTTGACGCATTTGAGGAATTCTGAATGTTTGATGAAATTAGCTAATGGAATTATTTGCTCGAGGAGATAAGCGTGGGTCTGTGAATGATGTGAACTTGAAATTAGATGAATGCCTTATTGAAATTCTGTTGATGTTGGCTGATTTAGAGGACTAAGAAGGGACTATGTCGTGTTGCCATTTTAAGAAGTTTTTTTTGAAATTTCTATTTAAAGTAGATTTTAGAATGGAAGATATTACTAAGGCACGAGCTTTTAAGAAATTATAAACCTGGTCAAGATCTTGTATAGAATACCTTGATTAAAGGCAAGGAAGTAAGGAAGTCAGTAAGTCAAGATCTTTGAACATTTTTATCATGTAAATCTCATAGCTTTGTGATGAATTTGTGAGATTAATGAAGAATCAATTTAATCAAAACTTTATGAATTAACATAACTTCTGTGATTCCGACAAACAGACTACTGAATGTACAAAGAGATATTTAGATGATAAGTTAAAGATTACTAAGCAGACAAATGTACAGTCAAATAGACACAGCCAGTCGAATGAATGAATAGTCAAATAGACATAGTCAAATAAATACAAAGCAGATAAGCTGAAAATTCTTCAATGTCGACTCGAATAAACATCCACTGACTGAAGAATGCTTGCTCAAAACTAGAGGCAAAATGCATAAAATTCAGAAAATATTTTACTCCCAAAAAATGCTCTAATTAAAAAAGAAGAGCTGAAAATATTTCATGGAAAAATATTTTCTTTCCGAATTCATGTTAATTAATTTTTCAAAAAACTCACAAAATGAGAAGTAAGGAAAAAGAAGAACAAAAAGATTTTTTTGTCACATCGAATGTGTCATGGAAATTTCACGTTCTTAATTTTTATTTTTATCTCCTTTTATGGCATCGTGTATGGCATGAAGAAATAATTTAAATTCCTTTCATCACATTCATAATTCATAAATTTCAATTCTTTCCTCCTTCTCTGCTTTCCGTATGCGAGCATGAAAAATCACTTTAGGATATATTTTTATGTGTTTAATGAATGCATGTAAAATACAAATACGTAGAGTACTTTAGTTAAGTAACTGGTAGCATATTCG